TAACGCATCTGCAGGAGGGCAGCAGAAGAAGAGCGTCTGAGCAGCCAGCAGCGCCTCCTTCTTCTCTCACATCCTCCTCTGACCTGTCCTCCCACAGTCGCTCCTCCTCCCCGGGGCCAAGCCCGTCCCACAAGCTGGACGGCATCAGCCCCGAGGCTCTGGACCGCCTTAAAGGTTCGGTCAGCTTTGGTTACGGCCTCTTCCACCTCTGCATCTCGATGGTGCCGCCACACCTGCTGAAGATCGTCAACCTGCTGGGCTTCCCTGGCGACCGTCTTCAAGGCCTCTCGGCACTCATGTACGCCAGTGAAAGTAAGGACATGAAGGCACCCTTAGCTACGTGAGTATGTGAGTGAGTACGCTTGTGTTTCTGTATTCTAGCTGTGCCTTGAACTTGATCAGTCAGGTTTGAAAAATGATGACATGGTAAGATAGCATAGAGAAAGAAATGAGATGTCATCCAGAAAGATGAGTTATGGTCTTGTGTTGGTGCCTACAATGAATTACAGATGTCCTCATAACATTGACCATTGGCTGATACCAAGAAACCCTCTTGTTCTAAATACAGATACTATTGGTTTTTATAGCTGTTTACATTTATTATTTATTTGTGTACTTATTTTTGAATAAAAAAAAATACAAAGATACAGCCTTAAAATGTGTGACGGGAAAACATATTGTCTGCTATGATATATGTAAAGCTTAGCTAGCACCCTTCTTATTGTTTGTTATGCTCACTTGAAACATTTCCTGAATGAAGGAGTTGTATTGAGAGATTAAGTGATGTTCTAGCTGACACTTCATAATGGAGCCCTGCGTTATTTCAGGCGGAATACGGTAGTCCTGCCCGCAAGCGGCCACCAGCTGATCTGAGAACCGCCCCAATGCCAACCACTCATGATACACTCTGACAACAAGGCGGTCTATTTAAACCGTTCTGCCTGTCACTGCTCTTGCATCACATCCCCTCTGCTGTGCTATTTCCCTCCACCACCCCAACCTCCTCCAGCTTCAGTCAGCACATTTTATATTCTAGGATGAATTGTTTGCTTCTTATGTCTGCAAGATGTCAGTATCATTACATGCACATTCAGGTTCTGTTCTGCATGTCCCCATGGGGGGAATTAAAGGTATGCGCTCTCCGCAAAATCTGTGGCATGCTGCACCGATACTGCTGAGAGCTAAGAGCTTAGACCCTGCTGTACCTGATCTAATATTAATAAGATCTTTATCAATACTTTGTTTTACAATGATCAATAAGTTCATCAGCTTTAAATAATTCACAGATTATTGAACAAATATAAACAGAGTTATATACAAACTTGACAGTTTGTAAAAAGTTATTAGACTAGACTACATAGTTTTTCCTGTTTTTTATATATAAAATGGTACAGTATTTTTGTCCTATCTGGTATACTACCCCACACACACACACACACACACACACACACACACACACACACACACTCATTACAGTCTCTGTGCCTCCCTTACAGCTTGGCACTCTTGTGGTACCACACAGTAGTGCAGCCCTTCTTTGCTCTGGATGGCGCAGACACACAGGAAGGCCTGCTGGAAGCCAAATCCATTCTTCAACAGAGGGAAGCTACATATCCAAACTCCTCTCTCTTCATGTTTTTCAAAGGCAGAGTCCAACGCCTCGAGGTAAACCCATGATTATAAAAAGAAGGCCTTCTTACAGTATCCCTGCCTTGACTTCTGACTTAATAAAAAGCCTGTTGCTCACACCACAATGTTTCCTTTCACCAGTGCCAGATCAGCAGTGCCTTGACGTCTTTCCGCGATGCCTTAGACCTGGCCTCTGACCAGAGGGAGATTCAACATATATGTCTATATGAAATAGGTACTTATACCTTTCAGATTTCCAACTTCCTAGCTCAGCACTTGTCTGAATCATAATATGTGACTGTTGTACATTTCAGGTTGGTGCAGCATGATTGAGCTGAACTACAGAGAAGCCTACAGGGCCTTTGAGCGCCTGAAGACAGAGTCGCGCTGGTCCCAGTGCTACTACGCCTACTTGACAGGAGGTGGTAACAGTACAAATGAATAAGGCTTCAAAGACATTTCTTCTTACTGCTTTTTAATCCTTACTAATAATGTGTTTGTTTCCAAAGTGTGCCAAGGATCCACAGGTGACCTGGAGGGTGCTGCTTCTGTGTTCAAAGATGTTCAAAGACTTTTCAAGCGCAAGAACAATCAGATCGAGCTGTTTTCCATGAAAAGGGTGAGCATGTGTCCAGCTGATATTGTATTGCAAATTATTAGTGCGAAGCAAAGTCAGTGAAGTATGTGTCCAAACCTTTTTTATCAGGCTGAGAAGCTGAGGTGCCCCAGTCTGTCCAAAGAACTCTGCATCCTCTCTGTGATGAATTCTTTATCTGTGGAAAGCTCTGCCCAACTGCTCCACTGCCAAGCTGGAGACAATGACACAAGGTACTTGATTTGTGTATGCTTAAATAATTTTTTGTGTAAGCTAATTTGCTGTTGTGTCATTAAGTGTATTGTTTTATTTGTAGTCCTGCAGGGGATTGACGATGCTTCGAGTGCAGGCCTAAAAAACCTGCTGCTTGGTGCTATTCACAAATGTCTCCATAAAACCAAAGATGCCATTCAGGTACCTTAAACATCTAATTAATACCCCAACATGCTCAAAAATGTGAGGCAAACACACATCAATTGTTTCGGTTTCAAATAATAAAGATCTGATATTGTTCTGATATCTGTTTGTTTCAGTATTTTCATCTTGCTGCAAGGGATGAGGTGGGTCGTCTGAGCAACTCGTACGTGCAGCCCTACTCCTGCTATGAGCTGGGCTGTGTGCTGCTGAACACCCCAGAGGTAAGTTTCTTTCTTGTTTATGTGTGTGACTGAAAGAGAGAGTCCTTGATCTAAGATGGCGGAGAAGTCACATCGTCTTACTATTTGATTCTTTCTCTTTTTCAGTCTTCAGGGAAGGGCAGGATGATTATGCTTCAGGCCAAGGTACAGTGACTTTCTTTATTTGCTGTATACTTTTAAGTCTGTACTTTATACTGCTGCTTCTGTTTGTGTTTTGATTGTTAATAACTGGAAGTAGTTGGTAGCAAGTAAGTGTAATCTTAATAGACTTCAGAATTTCAGAATCTAAGCAAATATAGATTAAACAGTATAACCTTATCAAATGGTAATCTATTCAGCCTACCCATGCAGCTGAAGCGATTTTCTCTTATCTCTGCCAGAAGGCGTTTTTAAGTTTTTATTTTGTGTTTGCTGAAAATTCCCTCACTACCCAACCAGGGGACAGTGTATCCAAAATAGCTTGAGAAAGGGGACAGATGTTGTGATGTTACAGGCAAAGGTTTGTGAACCATTAAAGTTCATCTGTATGCTTTGGATGTAGTCACGGTTTGAGACTGTTGTCTGAAAAAAAAAAAGAGGCTAGTGTCACGTAAACAGCCACAACATCTTGATAAACTAGACGAAGACAATAGTCCCTGAGGTAGCAAGTGTTTAGCAGTTCTGACTGCATACTAACACGTCAACCCTAACAAGATGCAATCTCAATGATCCTGATCATTTGCAGGGACAAGCATCATCGAGATCTGTTTTCTCTTTTGCAACAGTTAAGTGTTCTGCACCCTCAGGGAGAGGCTGGATTGTCCGGCCTCATCATGAAGTCAGAAAGCATAGTGTGCAACATCCCATCCACACTGAGTTAACAGAGTGCTCTAAAACCCTTCCCTCAAGTGCATTTAACACCCTTTATTTTAATAACCTACTCTTAAGGAAGGCAGTTCCAAAAGGCTGAATCAGGATGTGTCTACACATGTACAGTAGATGTGTCTGCCTGGCATGTGGTGCAGCCGTATTGACTGTGTTAGTGAATGCACCACAGTGTCAGATGATGCAGCTTGGGTCTCCCTATCTCTTTTACTGTAAGAGCCAACCCTGCACGCCTGAGCATATGCTTCTTTAATGTTTAGATTGCATCGATTGGTTTGAATGTCCCGACAGCAAAGCTTGTTAGAGGGCAGGGCACACACAAAACTGTTATAATATTCACTGATTTGTCTCTTTTCATGGATTTTGCAGGAGGACTACGCTGGCTATGACTTTGAGAACAGGCTCCATGTTCGAATTCATTCTGCTCTCGCCTCTATGAGGGCTGCAGCACAGCCTTGACATTCTATCTGCACCTCACACAGACCTGGAAGAGTCTTTTAAAAAGCAACAACACCAATCAGGGCACTAAAGTTACATTGTTTAATTTCTTGTAATTTATTTTCAGTTTCTGAGCCAAGGCATCATTTGAGAATGTGTGCACTATGTACTGTAAATGTTCTCCAGGAGGTTCTTTACAAGAGATCTGTCTTGTTTTCGTTTACTGCACTGTACTGTAAATGACTGAATTGGGGTTCTTATTGTTAACATGGTTCAGTTGAAACTAGATGCCAGCACACTCAGATTAAATCTGTTAATGTAAATTCAACAGCATCAGACATATTGCTTCCACAGAGGACGATTTTCCAGGTGAAGTAGAAAATGGCACATATCAAGTATTAACTGAAGAAACAGCTCGGCTTGTGAAGTTAAGAAGCTGATGTTCCGACCATCTCAGTGTTTTTTTTTTTTATATTTGCTGTAGAGGCTTCGCTTGTCCATAGGCGTTGTTACCAAACCTTGATTTTATGGTTTAACATAATCTTTTTTTAAGCAGAATTGTTTATCATTGTATTTATGTCTTGCACACGAGTTTTAGTAGTCATGACAGCATCATCTCGTACCACTCGAGTGGCCTAGTGCTGCTCCTCGCTGTAAACTGGTTTTTCTATTGTTTGTTCAAAGGTAATAAAATAAATATTGGAAATTAGAATATGGTTTTATTTACTGCACTTGATTAGGTACCATGTTTGATAGTAGACTTACATTTACCTTTTTAGTGCCACTCATTTGCCAATCCAAAAGACAAGTAAAATAAATCACACAGGAGGAAGAGATTTCAGTGAACATTAAGCCTTTATTTAGCAACAATAGAAATTCAGTTTTAATACCCAAAAGTGTCATAACGGGGGAAAAAAAACATACACTTCTGTCAGCTATTCACAAGTAGAGAAAAATAATATTCAGTGCTTGATTGTGAAAGAGGTAAGGCTTGCATAGTTATAAGGATACACATGCTATACTTTACTTAGACCAATAACTCTAGGAATATAAGAAGTTTCACTGAACAAATGCAAGACCTTAACACACATACACACAAATCTATAGTGCAGAGCAAGTGTTTCTGCTACAGTACAGTTTGGAAAAGATGCTACTTTATTACAGTCAAGTAGATGTATGTGCAACACTGTTCACCTCTATACAGTCCATCATTTAGGACCCCATTCAAATTGTATGCATTGTTAAGTTGAGTTAGTCTTGTTGTTGTAGTACTGCCCAGGATTCTAGTGAAACATCCCTTTTTACCAGCTCATATCTTCGTAGAGAAACAACTAGGCGCAGTTAAATATCATTAGCTAACAAGCAGAATTTAAAATGCATCGAACACTAGTTATCTGCACAACTACAAAATAGACTCAAAAGGCTCCTAAATATTCTGTTATAATCGTTAGCACTTCGATACAGAAGGCCAAAGGAGAATCAGTGTCAAAATGTAATAAAGGTCAAATGAATTCTGCTCAGGATGCATTACTCACTGATTTTATCTAGTATGTCTGCACTGATGTTATTTGTAAAATGACCAGCAGGAATCATGAACATACTACTAACAAAAAAAAACAAGGTTGCTGTTTCATCCCTCCAGCTATCTAACATTTATATATTCATATTTCTAAAATACATTCTATTTTTCAATGACATGCCTATATCATATTTAAATGGCCAAGGACCACAATAAATAAGCTAAGAGATTTTGTGCTTTTTATTCACACACATCTGTAGGAGTACATATATGCCTCTAGGTTTATTCATTATAACATGTTAAGTCAATCCTACCCTCTGTACCTTACTCCTTTACATTGTTGGAAGCTCTAGCAAAAAAAAACCTAGTACAGCTAAGAAGTGGAACGGTTGTAAAAGTAGATTTAAATGTCCATGGTAATAGTTTGTATTTCTACTTATTAGTAGATGTCAGGCATGTGATTGTAGTTCCTGTCCCAGTAGCCTTTTGAGTAGAGCCAGTCCTGAGCTTTGTTGTGAGGGTTGGGTCCTTGCTGAAACCACCTGCAAGGTTAAACGATAAGAAGATTGCTAGAATACCAATACTGCACTTTGGGTTAAAAGAGAGGCATAGAAGTAACACAGACAAATCAACACACACACAAAAAGCACAAGACTAGATCATATCAAGTACCAAACTTGACAATTGTATCAAATAACACAAGGTTGCAGTTGTACATTTTGTCCTGAGGGGGGTGGTGTAGTTTAGTGCAACACTTCACATCAGAGAAAAACACAGGAAAAAGGCAAAGCTTTGAACCAAACCTTGGGCCAAGTGCAGTGTTCCTTCTCAGATTTATCAAAGGGAGACAAACAAATAAACACAAGACAATGGGGAGGCAATTAACACATAATTAGAATAGGCTAATTTCATTTTATCGAACAACTTAGTAACTAACCTTGTTTTCCACTCTTCTGTTGATTTAGTGCGATTTTTCCGAGCCATTCTCTGTTTTTCCTCAAGTCTCTTCTTCTCTGCACTCGCCATATCTATAAATGCATGAATAGGAACAAGCTTGCAAACCACCAGAGACGTTATTAAAGCTAATAAAAAGGGACTAAAATGAAAGGTTATACCTATATCTCCGTTCTCCATGGCCCGAATGTCAGGTCTGAGGCGACTGTCTGTGGTGGGAATAACTCCCTCCATGCTCTTCTCATGCTCATTTAGGTGCATTGCAAATTTTGAAAATGCATAGAACTGCCAGAGAGAAAAACACATGACCAGAAAAACTTCAGCTGTCACAAGAGACAGAAAATAAGCAACAAATAACACGAACACTTGTTATCCTGCTAATTACCCTGTTTTTTTCATTTTCATATCAACCAATTGTCACACCACCTTAATTTCTTTTCATACCTTGGCTGAGTTTTCTGGTCGAGGCGTTATCTTCCAGATGAGCTCGCTCCCCGGGATGACCTGGACGGTTTCGGCATCAGGCGGAGGCATCTCTTCTGGCTCCTCATCCACACTGCTCTAGGTCCACAGTGACACACGCAGAGACAAATATCCACAGGTTGTAACAGAGCCGAATAAAACACAGAGGATTTCTAAAGCAGCAAACTTGAATACCTGTTTGTTGCCCTTTTTGTCATCGGAATTCTTTTTGTCCATCTTTTTGTGGCCTCAAAGGAAGCGGGGTCGACTGTGTAAAGACACTCAGTCCATTTGCCATATATTGCACAGAGCTTCTTTTTGCTGAAAATATATCAAAAAAGGGTTAATGAGAAACAGCTTTAGATGCTTTAAATATTTGATACATCATACTATTCACTTAATGCCTAATAAGTTCTTTATGATCTTTTTCTGTTACTTATGACAAATCTACATTTCTCTCAGGCAAGATTAAACACAAGATGAATAGTAAAATCACTGGTAATTAAAGGAAGAGTACCTTTTATCTAAGATGTAGCCCTCCACTTTATGGAGCTCTTTTCCAAAGAGGCCACAGGGTTTGAAAGTCATGCTGCATCTCTCTCCAGTCCTAACACAGAATGACAGACCGTTTACCGATTCTCTTTCACTCCTTCTGCTGAGCTAAAGGCTTTCAAACATCAACTACCCTGCTCTTCTGTTCTAATGGCAACCGTCCCAGTTTGCTTCCCATGATCAATAAGCTGAAAGTAGAACAGCGCTCTGCCACGGAGCACAGACAGACGGATGTTCATGCTCCCAAGTCTTATAGTGCATGCTAATTAGTGAGGCAGGCTTTTGTAGACAAACAGACACACAGAGCAACACAAAGAGAAGGACATTTCTATTACTTGTGATTGATCACTTCCACGCTGCCATACTGCTCAATCCAAAGCTGTCCCACAATTATATTGTGCACACAACAGGTAGGGTTTGTCCAGGTGTAGGCTTCATTATATCTGCAGGAAATAGAAGAAACGTGAGATGCAGTTGCCTCAAGAAGACTCAAATCAATTTTGCAGCTCAGTCTAAAGTTCATGTACTCACTTCGGCAGCTCGAGTGTGATAACTCCCTTAGGCTCAGCTTCTATGCATTTCCCCCAAAACTTGAGTTTGGGGTAGATGGAGCCATGGAAGACAAAATTCTCATTGAGGCCCTCTGCTTGAAAGGCACTTACTGGAGGATGGTGGCTTACTTGCTCGGAAACCCACCTAAAGCCCAAATCGTCTCTGTTGGACAGCAAAGACATGTTTGGTAAGGCAGGAAAGTCCACAAAAAAATGAATCTTCACCAAATGTAAAAATGTTTGTATTAAATGTGCAAATAAAACAAATTTGTACAATTGAGTCTCTGATTTAAGTCTAAGGTTTTACCTGATGAGCTCGTATGTTTCCCCAAGTAGTGGGTTGAAGGGTTTCCCAGTCCTATCCCACTGCGACGCTACAGCTGACACAGCAAATGCTGCAACACACTAAACAGCAATGACTTGTGATAAACAAACTACAGGCAACTGCAAGAGTATTTTAGTTAGATGAAGTCAATTTGGGCATGATCTTACCTTCATCCTCTCCACTGAGTCTGTTGTAGCATTGGCCTGGTGGATGAGGTAGGTGTGCTCCATGTATTCTGTTAGCCGCTGGAGGAAACTCAGAGGTTCGTTAAATATCACAGGCATGGCAATCTTCGACAGCTCCTGCAAAAATGAAAAAAAAGGGAGAAGGTTGTAAAACCTGTGAGGAAAAGAAGACTTTTGAATGGACAGTGGATATTTCTACTCCTAATTCATACACAATTCTACAAAACTGTCGTTTATGACATCTTTTCATTTGGGGTTTACATTTACATCTTGATGGAATATTTCATTGTTGATATATTTAAACTTTCTTTGTGTTTCAGATGTATTTTGGGGCTTTTTATGCTTTTATTTTAGAGATAGATCAGTGGATAGAGTAAGAAACCAGGAAGAGAGATTGGGGAATGACATGCGGGAAAGGGGCCACAGGTCAGATTTGAATCCGGGTCGTCCACTCTTGAGGGCTTCAGCCATACACTAACCACTAGCTTACAAGTGCCCCAATCTATAATTATTCAACTGTAAAATCTGAGCGTTAAGGTAAAACAAAATTGATTTTTGCTTAAACTGAACACACAAACCTTAATTCAGTTTGTAAAAGAGATGAAGTGAAAGAAACCAGATATTATTCTAATGAAATGACTGCACTGTTAAACACACTTTGTGCATGCTGGATGTGTGCCTGGATTTGACTGCATATCTGACTGCAACTGAACTGCGTTTGCATGAATCATTAGCCACATTTAATTAGAGAATAAAACATTAAGAGACATTATAAAATGTAATTAAATCCAGGCTGGGGCAGATTGAGGACTGAGATCCCTCAGGAATCCAAGACACTGATACTAATGACTACACTTCTCAAACCAACCGTAAGTATGTGTAGTGAAAACACTTACTTAACACAATAACCTCACTTTTTAAGTTCGGAAATTAAAGCACAACAAATACATGATTGATTGTTTTTAGGAGTTTCTCCAGCTCTCACCATGCCGATGCATTTCTTTAGGATACTCCATATGCTGACGTCGTTCCTGGAGAACATGGGAGCCGGCAAACATCCTCTGTGCGAAAAGGTAGAGAGAAAGAGGGAAACACACAGTCAACTATTACAGAAAATGATGTTGATGAAAAGGATTTCTGTCACTTCCTGTATTCTAAAAGAGGGGAGAACAAAGCTTGAACCACCATATTGGAAAAAAAAAGTCATCTGACACCTGTAAGCTCGTGAGCTTTCAGCTGGTCTGCTCTCATGCAATACTCATGAATAGATGTATAACTGCATGTGTTCTCAAGACGCTCCTTGAATAGATTTTACTGCATTTAAAGCTTGGTTTATAAACATATATTACTTTTGCTATTGTTTTAAATAAATTATGACTTAACATATTCTATCTTTTGTCTATTTCTGTTAAATGCAGCTGTCTTTCTTTTTCCCTCTCAATCTGAGCCCGTGCTACTTGAGTGAATCTGGTGCGAGCTGTGAAAGAGTCTGAGCCTTCGAACTTTGCTTACAGCAGTGCTGTGGACTTTTAACAGGTACGCTGGCTGGAGGCAGATGGTGCTGAACCAACTCCACAAATAAAAGCCATTACTTCAGCTAAATAAACAGAGAGGTAGGGGGGTGGGGTTTACTCCATGTATAGGATGAACAGAGCAGTGACGCATGGCGGACTGTTTTTCTTGAGCCTCTGTGCCAAAACTAAACTAACTAATAAAGGTTTTTTTTATTTATTTAGACTTTTATAAAAGCTAAAACATGATAACTGATAATAGGGTTTCCTTATTTTCAAGTACAGTTGATCAAGTACTATAAATGTGCATGTCTAAAGAATCATGTGACCTGATGATTTTGGAGTTGCAACAAACATTTTTTAGATGAAATGCTCCAGTTTCACTGACAAAGTTCCCTATTTTAGCTTAGTTTACAGTCAGAAATGATTAACTTTCTGATTCACTGTTTCCAAGTTAAAATCCTCTTTTCTACACTTTAACTCACATTTTTAAAGATTGTATTGTTGGGTTTCATAGAAAAGGGAAATAGTGAGAGAAATGTTAAACATAGAGTTAAGCATATAAAAGAAGCATCTATGAATGGCAGGGAGGTACTTTCAAATAAACAGACACCTTATAAATCTTTAATGCACAAGCCAATCTCACGCACACGCACGTTCACACACACATGCGCACACAAAGTGAGCCAGTTCCCTTTCCAACTCCGACTCTGAGCCAGCACATGCTTAAGTATTACATTATTCATATATCACTTGTTGAATTAAGTAAGAGAGGACAAGCCAGAATGTGTATCCATCAAAAAAAGAAGAAATAGTCACAAAAAAACCAAACAGAAAAACAAACATGAAACACACAAGAGCTACCCTGATTGTTCGCTTGGAGAGTTGAATCCGTCAGGGAAAACAAAATAGGCTATTCTCAGTGGAGTGGGTGAACAAACAAAAAACACCTGACTACAAAAACAGAGCGGAGTGGAAAGACGGTATCACATTACACAAACTCTTCCATTTACTGACCTATCCTCCTGCTGATTAAGGACTGAAGCCTGTCATTGGACAAACATGCTAAAAGACAAATGCAGGCTATTTATTTTTGAATTTTTATGAAATTGATTTCTGCAACCAGCTGTGATTTTTCAGCCTTACAGAAAATAAACCGTGGACAGACCAAGAGCTCTCAGCATTACATTTCCATCATCTAAGCCAATAAACAAGCATGACATCATAACTGGAGCATGTCCCACCTGTGCTTTTCGACTCCGTTGCACTGGGCTGGTTGGTTGCCATGGTTACCCTCCCCTGACATTCCGGAAGGCCCCCTGAGCGTGCTGGGATGGCGGAGGCTGCTGAAAAGGGGGGCGTCTCTCCCCTCGTCCTCTTCACAGGAGTAACTGGTCAGAGAAAGGAAGCCGCTCACAGAGAGCTCCGAATCCGACTCTGTGGAACGACGACAGGGGGCAGTAGCCAGGTCATGCCAAGGATGCCAGGTCCACAATCACACACAAACACACACACACACACAATCACACACATAAACATGCAAGTTTGGTTGGCCCGGCTCAGAAAGCTGCAGCCTGAACAATACACTGTCCGCAAATAACACTTGAGCTACACTTCCTCTCCAACCTTCCCCGCCCTGCTGCCAGCCAAACCCCACCTGAGGATTGTGATCCAATGGGAGGCCACACTGAGGCTTTATTTCCTCCGACATTGTTTGCTCTGTGCCTGTGGATGCAGCACTGTAAGTGACATTACATTTACCGTCACACACACAAAGGGAGGGGAGAAAATGTGTTATCTGTGCACTCTTCAAGAATGACTGTATATGCTAATTTGGGTGTGTTATTTTTAAGTACATATACTTATAAACTGAATGATGTGCTGAATTTCAACCAGCTGCAAGGCTGCACTCTTTATAACAGCTGGCAGAAGTTAAAGCATAGCTTCATAAACACCTTCTATGTAAACAAAAACAGGTGTATGAGTTTTACACACCCAGCTCAGCATGTGAAAATCCTAAAATAAACTGAGCAGAGTAGAGAGTCTAAGGGCAGAGTAGTCTCTAACCAGTGGATAACTCAGGGCTATCTATGAATAATGCAAAGATTCCTGAGGAAGTGCACAAACACCTGCTGCAGACAGAAGTCTACAGTAAATAATCCCCATGGTGAGGATCTTAGGGACACACAGATGTAAACGTTTCACAGTATAAATCATTAAAACACCATATAAGAAAGAGTGTCAGAGTAGTCACCCAATGCCCTCAAGTAAAAGAGAGAGAGTATATGATGCCATGAAAACTCAAGGACAGACTGAATGTCAATGGGCCGAGTTTCATTTGGTAAATCTGAATAAAAACATTTGTTTGTAATCAATCTGGAAGTGAAGTAAAAACTGGCAATTGTAAAGCAGTTTCACAGTTGACAAGGCACTGCTGGATACAACTGTTCTCAGAGATGCACAGTGCAGTTTCCTCGTAAACAAGGTTATGAATATTTTCCGTTTTACTCAAGAACGCACTGTTTGTCCCTGAGTCCAGACAAACGTAAAAATCTATTTTTGACTTTTTCTAAATGTTGAAAAAGGTGCAAGTCATGTGTTTGTAGCTTTGATTACAGGCTTGCACTTATTTGACATGCCTTTTTCAGTGCATTTCTATACTTTTTGTTACTTTATTACCATAAACCATCAGCATGGCTTTGTGTTGTGTCGACAGCATTATTAGATGAATTTGCAATACAAACCAACAGGGAACCCCTAGTGGTGATGGTATTGCTCTGAATCACATCTAAAACCTTATCTCAACAAACTTCAATACCAGAAATGATCATATCTAGTTTAACTTTAAATGCAATGTCATTATAAGTAATAGATTAAGAGGGAAGAAAGTGCTTCACATCATGCTTGACATTTAATTTGTCTTATTTATGAACTGACCAAACACTGTATGAAGATGTACTGTTCTGATATGTAACCAGAGTAAAGTTTAACTTCTCGACTGGTGTCCATGTACAGTAGAAGCTGCTGACCTGACACAGCATCATAGAAGTCATCTTCATTGAGGGAACTGAGGGCAGACAACCTCCTGCCCTTACACAGGGACTGCTGGAGTTTGATGTTCTCAGTTGACAACGTCTGCAGAGCCTCTGAGAGGGCTTTATTCTTCTCTTCCTCCTGCTCTAACTTCAGGCTCCACACCTGCAAACACATGACCACCGGACAGCCACAGAAACACACCAGAGACAAGGTGAACTACAAGAGGATTATAAAAAATGAAAATTGTGAATCAACGTGCATCTATTACAGACAGTACTGCTGGCTGATTTGTTATCTACTGATGGCTTGATTGATAAGCTATTGATTTGCTTCTTTAACTGCCACAGTATGTGCGTCTTTGTGGTTCTGATGGCAGGTCAACCCTGTCCGCAGATCTGGTTTCCTCCAGTTGGAACCGAACACGCCAGTCTCCGAGAGCTCAGTGGCTCGGGATTGAGTGTCCATTCAGAGCAACCTGAGCCAGGGCACAGTGGGACAGACCAGATCACTTTAACTGCCACAGTATGTGCGTCTTTGTGGTTCTGATGGCAGGTCAACCCTGTCCGCAGATCTGGTTTCCTCCAGTTGGAACCGAACACGCCAGTCTCCGAGAGCTCAGTGGCTCGGGATTGAGTGTCCATTCAGAGCAACCTGAGCCAGGGCACAGTGGGACAGACCAGATCAATGTTTCCGATTGTCTAAGGACGCTGTTGCAGGTCTTTAGCGGATTTAAAAAATAGACAAGAAGCTAAACGCAAATGCATAAATGATACCAAAGTAGCATCGGAGAGAAACAGGAGTTTGTAAATCAAACAGTATATCTGTGATGGAGAATTGCAGCTAATGTGTTCTTTTAAAGATTTAAAAAAAAAAGAATCCCTTATCTTCCATTGTGCCTGCAGTATTATCAGTTGTGTGCACAGCCATGCACAAAGAAACATCTGTCCACACATCTGCTCATATGCTCAAGAGCCTTTACAGATCCTGCCTGTAATCAGAAATCCTTGAGTCGTCAAATGTACAAGCTGAAATTTGACTTGGTGATACAACAAATTTAAGCTACAAACATTAATAAATTATTGTTAAAGTTACAAAATCTAATTCTGGAGGTTGGTGACCATCTTTGTCATCTTATTGACATTGTGCTTTGATGTGAAATGTAACTCATGCGAACAACTGAGACAAAGTCCCCTGCAGTAACCTCACCATTGTTCTAGATGAGACCATCAAATCTGACCTGCTTGATGGACAGATGGCTGGAGGTGCAGTCATAAATGTACAGAGAGAACAGACATGCAGAGTGCACAACCTTGTGGAGCTATGTGTGTATATATACAGTGTCAAACCCACTCTGAGGGACTATCCAACACATGTGTTTGTTTCTTTCAATCAGCAAAAATCAAGGCTAGATAGATCCATCAATTTTTAACAGATATTGATTGATTCAATACCCCCAAAGAGAATCTAAGCACCCCTGACAATTCTACAATAGAGTAAGAACAACACAAGCAAGACTCTAGAAAGGAGGAACCGACGTCAGAATTGGCGAACAAACAGCTTTTAAGCACAACATCGAAAGCTGTTCTAGAGTCCTAAACAGCATCCCAAAAGCATTGTCATCTTCATTAACAAACAAAACCCTGTCATCATCATTTAGTGCTTAAGTGTTCATGAAGGAGCTGGGTCTGTAGCTTTTTCTTAAAGGTGCGAAACGACGCTGAACTTTGAAAGAAGTTTGATAGTTTGTTTCCCCACCAGGGGGGCGATAAAGGATAACGGTCTAGCGAGAGTCTTAGGGCCCTGTTGTGAAGGTTGGACCAGATGCCGTTTATTGGCAGAGCGTAGTGGGTAGGGCTGGGCAATATGACCTCAAATCAATATCACGATTAATTGAAAATTTTAACTTGATAATGACTAATGAACGATTATTTTGTTTTAGACTTTTGCCCTCATAGTTCACTGACATGGTCTCTACTGTAAATATGCTCAACTATTAAAGCTGGGATATTTACAGTGCATATCTGATGATCTATTTTGTGGTTATTAATTAAATATTTCAAACTGAAATCAAAGCATCGCTTGAAATGAAAAATGACACATTTTAGTTTTAAAGTAGAAATGAACTTCTCTAAAACAGTAGAAAAGAAATAACTTCTGAATCATAAATCAGAATCGGGGTTTATTGCCAAGTACATTTACACATACAAGGAATTTGACTTGGTGTACTGGTGCTAAACAATTAACAAGGAAATAAAGCAGAATTAGCAACAACTTAAATAATACAATATAAGAAGCTATTACAATATATAAAATATAATTTAAAAATGCAAAATATAAAAATAAACACAAAATGTACAAAAGGTGCAATGTAGGAGCTGTGCAGTGGGCTATGAGAAAAATGCATGTAAGGAAGATACATTTTTGAAGTCCAGTGGGCGTTAATGTAACGCATAAAGAACTGTTCAGCATTCACATTGCTTTGATGTTTTACTGACTGTGGGGCTGATGAGAGTCTGGGTTATGTGGGAGGAGGGGGGAGGGGGGAGGGGGAGGGCAGGGACGTTGTTCATCACTTGCATTTTTTGCAAACAGTTTTTCTGCAGTCTTTACATTTAACTTATTTTTGTTCGGTGTCGTCTTTCGTAAAGACAAAATGTGTCCAAACAACGGACATTGCTTCCATGTTGCAGATTGAACGTGCTGTCACGTGACTCTGCCTGAAAATAATCAAAATAATCAACATGGGCAAGAGTATGTCAGGTTAGAGGTTCTAAACGTTGGTTTTGATTAATTTTCGATGAATTTCCCAGCCCTAGCAGTGGGTGATAGGGAGTGTAGACTTGGATGATAGAGTTAAGTTAAGTCACTTTCACTTTTATCATGCTTCATTTATTAACTTATTTTAAATGCTGTCCGACATTATCCTCATCGCCTTCTGCCTCTTTATCTCGCTGTCTTTTTCTTCTTTGGCCAATTCATGATCATTCACGTTATCCACATTTGAGTAGGAAGTGCTCAATAAAAGTCATGAGGTGGTTATGATACGAGTCAAATTGATGGAGATATCTATTTAGAGCACCATATATTTTATTGTATAAAAATATAAATATTTGGCATCAGCAATTCAAAAATGGTATCACATGAGTCAGGAGTCGGATATACTGCTGCTTCAACAGCCCTATCATACAGAATAGAACTTTTATAAGAGACCCACTGCTATGTATACAAAGATGATTTGTAAATGAACATGATGCTCATGAACAGCACTCTGGTACCTACAGTTATGGACAAACTGAACACATTCACATTGCTGTTATCACAGCCTCCATACAGTCGATGTTCAATTCATATACAACAAACACAAAAGGTCTCTCTGGTTTTCTCTTTACTTTTCAGATCTGTGCTTTCATACAGATTCATAAAAATAAATTAACCTTAAAAATGTCAAGTAAATGTCAAAACTGCACAAACAATTTGGGATTTTGGTGCTGTTGCTATTGCTCAGTCTGCCTGATGAGCCTCCAATCAACCCATACTGTAGTGATACTGACAAATAAGATCCTCCATTTCATGTATAAAATGTGTCTCCCACAAAAAGGTTTGTCTTTTCAAAGCCCAGACAAATGTTTGGTGTAAAGCCTTGAGCTCACTGTATAGGAGCCTATGTTAACACTCCCTGTCCCAGGCACTTGGCTTAAGAGCCCACCCAGGGACAGAACACTTTGTTGTGTAACCAACTATCCCAGCCAGCTCTTCCACTCTCTCTGCATCCTCTTGTCTGAGCGAAACCAGCGCTATTTTAAGCTCTGCTGAGGCTGTGTGCTGTAGGGCTGCTCAAGCCTGAGAGGGATGCTTCTCCTTGGCCAACACCCCAAAGGAGAGAGCCTCTGCTCAGTTCTAAAATCAGCTTTCTCTGCTGAAGGGAAAACAAATCTCAGAGGCAGATTTACAACACATCTAGTACACTGGAATAAAAGTGGTGGTATATCAAACTGCACATGATGTGTGACTGCTGGGAAGAAGCTTCAAGGAGAGAGCCTCTGCTCAATTCTAAAATCAGCTTTCTCTGCTGAAGGGAAAACAAATCTCAGAGGCAGATTTACAACACATCTAGTACACTGGAATAAAAGTGGTGGTATATCAAACTGCACATGATGTGTGACTGCTGGGAAGAAGCTTCACATTATTTAGGCTGAGGGTGACTCAGGAACTGAGGCTCCAGAGACACATTACTAGTAGAGCAGGCAATACTAAACACAAACTACCTTTGTTTGAAGTTAAGATCTAAAATATAGATGTCTTTCTTTTATACTGATAAATGTAAATAGGAAGAAGGTATTACATGGAACAACATAAGGGAGCATTTACATTGGGTCAGCTACCCATTTTGCAACAAATGAAACAAAGGTCAAACTGTACTTTGTTACCTTAGACTCACAATGGATTAGACAGAAAATGTTTTCTTACAGCCAAGAGATAGAGACCCAAAAATGAACGACTGTAGAGAAACAAAGATATTATGCAGCTATTCTCCTGCCTACAATGCAACACAAACTGACAGATTGGCTTATCTGCTTGTCACCACTAAGTGGTTTCATGCCATTAGACTCCATTTGTTTTCCTGACAGGTGTGAAAGCCCGCCGCCTGAGAATCACCAAGACATGATTGTGATGTATTTCTGAGAGTTACAGTCACAAACCTGGAGAGAGTTTCTGGCCAGGAACGCCCTCCTGCCTTTCAATCACCATAACATTTTTTGTTTAAAAGCTATCTGCACATATCACTTAATGTATACCATACTAATACCATGTATAGCAGTCATCATCAGCCACTCATAGTGTTCTTCGTGTGTGCTGTGAAATGAGGCACTCTGCCTGGCATAGTTGAGTAGTGCAGCAGCTGCTCAAATGGGTCACACATTCTGCTGAAGGGTTACACTTTAATTGTTGCAAAAGCCTATGCATCACACTCTATGATCACGCTTCTCAATGTTACATTCACCAAGACGTCAAAGTCAATTTTAAACAGCATGTGTGACAATTATCCATTATGATAAATACTAAGGAAAACACATAGGTGTGTCACAGCACCTGTGGCAGCACAATGGGAATGTGAGATTAGAGTTAATGCTAGTTGATAGAAACAATCTCAGCAGTGTAGGAAATATAATCCAATTAGAAGATGTAGCAGCAGCGGCTTAGCATGAGACCAGTAGACACAACATGCCTCTTAAGCCCTTTCCTTCTTAAAACACTATCTGGTTAGTGGTTATCGTAAATGAATTCATCGTCCGTTGTTCTGACGCTTTTAATGCTTGTTGTGTGATGACACTGGAGTGAATGTGTTCATCCTCTCTTTGATAATAGTGCCAGGTTATTCTCTGTGACAGGACAGCAGCTGTTGGCAGTTCATGCTACAATAACATGGTTTGGCAGGGCACACATCACTGTGTAAACATGCTGCATGTTGGCATTGTTATGCAATCATATATCTGGCTGACTTGTAGAGAGTTCTGCAAAATCTGATGTCAAATTTTTTCAGCTTCTTTCACCTTTTTACACCAAAGCAGACAAGGAATGCTGCAAGAGTTAAAAAAAACTCCATATAAGTTAAAACTCAATTACATCATTGCCGAGGGTTTTATAATTAGAGAGTCGTAGTACATACCATACTGTCATCAGAATTAGTAGGGTCAGGCTCAGCATTTTGGTGTAGTAACCGAAACTAAGTGCTGATGAATTGGTGATACAATTTTAAAAAAAGAGTACTGAGAAACTGCTGAGGGCTATTCCCCAATCTTTTTCATTAAACCTTTCAAGTATCACCATCATGTCATATACATTTTATATTAGTTAATTTATTCTATCCCCCTCCATGCTCTTGACTTGACTGAATTAATTAAAAGATCCAATTTAAAAAGAAGCAACACGCAGTGAGACATGCAGTATGACTTCAAACATGCTCAATCTCACACTCACTTCACATCATTAAACCCATAAGAATGAACGATGCATATTGATGAAAAGCTTTTGCCCATATGAACGCGTAAAAACCAACAACACACATCGACACCTGAATAAATTAAATTCTTTGCCAAACTTCAAACACCATTAGCTAAGGCATCAAGGGGAAGCCCAGTGCAAAAACATCCAGCCATTTAGAGGATGATATATTATAAACTGTAAGACTCAAGAACAACTGTTTGGTTTTGTACCTGTGCAGATACTCCTTGAGAGTGCTGTCCGCGTCTCCTCTTCTTCCTCTTCTTGGTTGCTGTGGCATGTGGAAGTGTGCCTGCGAGTGTGTGTTTTGACTGTGTGAGGCTGAATGCATATATCTCCAGCTGAGCCTGTGAATATGTGCGCGCTTCAGTTCCCTCGCTTAATGCACAGCCTTCGCCCAAAGCGGCTGTGTGTGGATCCAAGTCTGCAGTTGTCTGTGTGTGTGTGTGTGTGTGTGTGAGTGTGTGTGTGTGTTTGTGTGTTGGTGCTGATCTGCTGGCTGAACGCAGACCTAAGCATAAAAGCGGATATAGCCTGTGTCCTTCCTACAGACATTGCCAGTGATTACAGCACTGTTCCAGCACTCCCTCTCCCCTAAGTGTATAAGAGTTAATGATATGACAACCATGCTCAGTTAGCTGAAGCTAATCACAAAGGAAAATAAATCACAAAAATCTTCATCACATACAAAAAACAAAAACGAACATTTGTTCTGCATCACTGAACAAACACAGTTTTAGTTTTGTCCCATTCCCAGTATTACATAAATGAGAAATCCTCCCAAAATCGTATGGTTCTGGGAGCTTGTATTCATTGTTTCAGGAAATGCTATGATGGTTAAACATAGCCAAACTCTGAAGTAAACCGTGTTGATTGTGTTTCATTGTGTTTCTTCAGGCTTGATTAAAGGAAAGCAGATCCCTACCTCCTCTTGCTTTGAGAGCAGTTCAAGGCACTGATGAAGAGCTGCACAGGTCTCACTGGAGAGCTCACTGGTCTCTTTGGCTTTCAGTAAAAGAGGTGCAGCCAATTCTTAAAAAAATAAAAATAAAATAAAAATCATCACAGATATATTCAAATCCCTGGTTATTTATAACGGTGATTCATTTGTTGGCTATTTCTATACTAAATCTGTTATTAGTTGTTCAACCACATGTCAGAAAACAAAACAGCATAGGTCTACAACATTCTTATTTTAATGTATTAAACTGAAATATTACTGGGTAAAATATAAGTTAGTTTGGTCAAAAGCAGTAAATACTGTAATTCTGTCTGTAAAATAGAACATTTAAAGTTTATAGGTTAGACCTTTGTCAAACCTTTTGGCTTGTGACAAATTATATTATAGCAGTGTCTACTCGTGACACCTCATTACAGGTCGTGTATCAATAAACAAAAAGCAGTTTAGCTGAAGAAAAACGTTTGGGATTTGTATTATGTTTGTTGAGGATGTAAGGATTGTGCAAAAGCTTCATGTGTTCATTTTCACTTTACACATATGTTGGGTAAACATCGGAACATGTGCAGTATTGGTAATCTGCATTATAGTATTATGGTTTTCAGTGGTCTGTGCATTTCTGCTTACATGTGCATTATTTGGATCATTGGCTGTTTTTGTTGTTTTAGAGTTAGGGTTATTTATCACTTCTTTAAGATTACTGTAGCAGCAGCAGCTATTAGTGTGCATCTATTGACTACAGGACAAATTTCCCTAAGAGATCAATAGTGTATCCAATCGTATCAATTTGTATTGTGTGGTATGGTGTCGTGCTATTTCAACTGAATAGTTTTGAACTCTAGACAGGAAAAAACACTCCAGTGTTTTAGAGGTAAAAACCTATTGTTGAATATAAAGTGGAGTACCTGAAACATTTTCCCCTTTTCTTTTGTGCAAAATCAATTTTCAACCTACAGCTCAGACTTATCTTGCCACCACTCACAGACTTTGATTTATCATAATAGTCTGCAACACATTTCCGGTTCATTGAACAATGAACAATGAATATTCTAATCCTTTTAGCAATAGTATACAAACAACAAACTTCATAGATATGAACCCAACAACAAGACTCCTACCATAGTTCTCCTCGTTCTTCACCATCGATAGAAATATTGACACTTCACCCTCCAATTTCTGCTGGAAAGCGTTGGCTGCCTGCAAGAGCACAGGGCAAGAGAGACACTTAGACACTCCATGAATAGAAACTCTTCACTTCTGTTGGTTCATAAAACACCTCGCTAAAATGTGTGAGCTTAATTTTACCTGAAGGGCTTGAGACAGTATTCTTACTGAACTGCCCCCATCAGTAGCTTCATCGTCTATAATTGGTTCATGGGTGCTGTGGCGAGTGCTGTAGGATGAATGGGCCTCAAAAGCATCCAGCCATCTCTAGGAAGACAAATATCAGTAATATTCCAAATGCTGTACACCCTTTAAGCCAGATTCTGGCATGGTAGGAGCAAAGAAGGTGAATCTCCCCTTACTTTTCTTGTTGCCACTGAATCTGTCTTTGAAGGGACTTTAAAACAATGAAGAGTGTCATCAAAGCACTTGAGCGTGAAGAAGCAATGGTCCCATGGTTTGATCTGAAATTACATATTGAATTTTGTACAATAGAGCTCATTGCACTAGCTTTTTAAGATGCCATTCAAACATCTACAATAAGGACAGAGCATCTTTGTGCACTCATTAAGGGAAAATAGCCTCTAACCTCCACTACCTACCATGCAGTAGGATTGAGTAAGAGACTTGCAGCCCTGTTTCCTGACACCAGTCAGCACATCAGCCCTGGAAAAACAACCCAGGAGAATGTGACAAACGCATTCACATAGCAGTACAGATGTTTCTACTCTTTAGTTCTCATTTATACAAAAGCTTCATAACTATCTTCAACGGGCAGCATCTCAAAGAAATATTTCAGACCTAAACAATACACATTACAATACTTGTTGTCACAGCCTTACTCAGTTAGTACACAGGTATACATACAGTATATAATAACTTAAGACGGGAAGAAACACATAGACAATGAATGTTACATAAACAAATATATACTATGAATGCTGAATCTATTGCATTTATAAAATGTTTTCTCACTGTCTGGGGTACCAGGAGAGAGTTCCATCCTCAATAACCACCCAGTGGGATCGCCATCCCAGAAAGCGTGAACTCTTTCAGACATGTAATCAAAAACAGATAATCCCAACAGAAAATATACAATATATAAATATATTTGATCGTTTTAGGAGAAAAGCATAACATTTTCTTTATCTTAAACCTTTGTACAATATAACTAATATCATAATATGTAATATTACAGATACACTTTACATATAAAATAATGAAAAAAGAGAAAAGAATTTGTGGAAAATTGTGAAAAAAAACATTGCCTCCATAAGTGCAATTAAGAATACATTTCAGCATGTTAGTACCTTCCAAAGAAGGCCTTCAGTCCTCTGCACTGCACTGCTCACATCCTTTGTAGGAAAGAAAACAATTGCTCATATTCATGTACAGTCACTGCCTTATTTACACTGTTGACTAGTTTTTGTTGTGAGACCAAAAACACTCAGCACAGCTGTTTTGCATATATGAGTAGAAAATTATTATCATTTATAATTGACTTAATTTATTAGGGCTTAGTGATTTTTGTTCACCCTGACTATGCAGAGTGCTGCCGTGAATCTTTGCCAGGCTTCTCAGACATCACAGCAACACTAAGGACTGCTGACTTGCAAGGCTTTTTCTCCCAGGAACATGGAACAAAGTGAACAAAGTGAACATGCAGATGTGTGAAAAGCAAGTGTGCAGAAAAAGTATTGTGTGAACCTCTATCAGAGCCAGGTGCAGCATGGCAGTCTGTGATAAAGGAGACACACTAAGATGTGACTTTCTATACCAAAAGCAAGTCATTTGCTGATGGAGTGCTTGAAAGTACAATGTTTCATAATTTAATTAAACTGAAGAAACTCAGTTTATTTAAAATAAATCTGTTAATTCGTTTTACAGTTTCCTGGACTTTGGCCCATTTGGTTCAAGCTGCTGCCGTGAACAAAACAAAGCTACTTTTATTCTCTTACCTTATCTTGATAGGCAGCTAGAATCAACCTCAGCTCATCATTGCGTACCAGCTCTAATGCTGTCTGCTCTGCAACACCAACGCCATATAACAAATCACCATTCAAATAATAATTATTTATGTGATTCAAACATGAAACAAAACAGGCCTACTTCAATGTAATGCTTAAAAAATTTGTTGTGCTTTAAAACATTTTTAGATCGACTTAATAAACCATCTAAAACATTAGGTGATATACCATTTTGGTTTTTTAAACTGGGGCTGGCTCCACATTTGAGCAGCTTTATGGCACACTGCTTCTGCCCTCTGTAGGCTGCACAGTGCAAGGGTGTGTTCCCCACCGAGTCTCTGCAGTGAATGTCTGGAGCTTCTTTTCCACTGAGCTGAAGAACAGAAGACAGTTTTAAACAGCAGAAAACATACATGACATACAGTATATAGTGTATTTTAACAATCTTTTACACAGCAGAACCTGTGAAAGGCATTGTGTGATGTTTAGGCAGTAGTCCAATATAAACATTTGTCTAGATGCTGTTGTAATAAGTGTTATTCCATATTCTGGAAGTGTTAAGGAAGTTGAGGCTCTAACCAGCTTAGACAGAGTAGAGATGTCACCCTCCCTGGCTGCTTCCAGAAGTTTCTCCTCCTGCCGCCTTCTCTCCCTTCTCTCTGCAGCTGCAAAAGCCAAGAACAAAGACAGTAGTGATCTATAGTGATGAGACACCAGCAGCCATAAAAAAAAAATGATTCCCCCCATCCTTTCATACCCTCCAGCATTGTAATGATTTCATCATCCTCTGTGACATCCTTAGGGATCTGAGCTGTTCCATTGATTATGTTTGAACAGGCATCATACCGCAGCAGCAACAGGACAATTTCCTAAAGGGTCGAAGACACTTTTTTTCAACTCAATTTTTTTTAAATGTATTTGACTAATGCTTAAGCTGCTTTAGAGGAAGGGATGTCCCAATGTCATGCACATATTTTATTTATACTGTATATATACACATTATTAAAAACATAATATATTATTATAATACACAAGCTGGTAAAGAGTGATTGCATTATTTACTTTCTTCCAGTGTAGGCTGCCTTGTGCAGAGGTGTATCACCCATGTTATTCTGTAAATTTGCATCAGCGCCTGCCTGCAAACGGTGTTCAGGATACTGAAAATCACTGGCTTCAACAAATACTACACATAATATACAGAATAATATGAATATCATCTGCAGCTCTCACCTTGAGTAGCTCCTCCACAACATCCCTGTGTCCAAAGTAACAGGCCAGATGGAGGGCGGTCCATCCTGAACTGGTTTTAGATTTTGCTACAGTGAGAGAAAGGAAAAATAAAGGGAAAAGGGAAAGGGATTTGCTCAACTCTGCTCTGAACAGATGAGCAGGGTCAGAAGTACAACCTCTAGGGGGCAGTGTTGAATTCCAAAACGAGATACTGCCTTTGCATGATCTGCTTTTTCTTTTAGGATCAGTAGAGTAGAGTAGAAGTAAGAGTAGAAAAAGCTAAACATGTTGATTTTTTTTCTCATGAAGTGAGAAAATGGATCCTGAAAAACTGATAGTGTGCGCATTAATCTTGATTGATACTTGTTTTGGTATCCTTTCTCACTGTCAGGACTTCTTACTGTACATGCATAGAAGACCATTTTTGGGTATGTGCGCCACCCACACAGGTGTGTGTGTATAAACTCTTATCGGCTAAATCTGGTGCAAAGCATCTCCTCTCATTTATTACTGAGATTATTGTTTATTTTGTAGATGGTCACTGAAAAACTAAACAATAGACTAAACTAACTGGCTGTGGCAAGCTATTTCTAAATGGAAAAAAACACACTCTTGTAAGAATTATATTTGAGATATCCATATCAGAATGTCTTATGGTCAAAACTGTTCACTAGTAACAATTGTAACTAAAGATATCCACAATAGCATTTTTACTGGCAGATAAGGAATTTCAAGATACTGTATGTAAAACTTTATTTCTAAGAGAAATGATGTAATTTGCTATTCATGTGTACTGGGCTTTCAATTTCAGGTAATCTACAATGTTATTGTTCATATCCAGAATAAATATTCTGAATATCTGCAATAATTCTCAGGGGAAACACCCATTTCAGATATATTTTATCCAATTGTTAGACCTCAGAATATTTATTAAATAACCCACATGAATTAACAAAAACAAATATATATTCTGAGACAATCATCATGTAATGTTATGTAATGAATATCAAAGTACATTATGATCGTTCAAATGTCATTTCATTTAAATTTGGCATTATGTTAAGGTCAAATTCATTTTTAGATATCAGCAATTATGAGTATGACATTAAATATTCAACATCAGGTTTCCATAAATGAATGGTGTGTATCTGTTGATGGGTAAAAAAATGATGCCATTCTAACATATAGGGTCATTGCTTATCCATGGTTATATGTACAGTAATGGATTGTTACATTTTGTGGATATCTTATATGTTAATTTTCACGAGGAAAATGGAATTATATCTGACTGCATTACATGGCCACTGTAGCAACTAAATGTTGAAATGGTCACTGAAACTTTTTAAGGATTTAAAGTTACCTTAAATGGAATGAATTTCAAGGAGAAAAAAAGTGTTACATCTTCAAATACAATCCCTGCTGGTAAGAATGATGTGGATGTATTTCTTATAGGTGAGAGTTTTGACTAGGAGAAATATTATTATGGATAGCCTATAAAAAAATATAATTCTGAATAGTCAATGAACCATTTTTTATGTTAAACCACTTGCAATAGTATCTTGTCATCACTTACATCTGCAGTTCACGTTGAGAGAGCTGTTTCGGTCGATTCTTGACTGGAGGAGTCTCTGAATTTGAGAACAACTGCCCTCTTTAGCAAAGAGAAGAAGCTGATCCTCGACAGAGTCTGCCTCCATCATCACTCGACAAGATGTTGCCCTTAATTAAAGAACATAGATGCTTAAAAAAAATATTGGGGACAAAAAACGAATTGTTAGAGACAAATAGAAAACGCGAAGAGAAGCTATCAAAGGAAAATGAGGTCTCCAGGAGCACATTCAAATGTTTAGTAACTCGTACAACATGCTTTGTGGTTCAGTTTGTTAAGCTTAGGTAGCATGTTTACTTTGTTTGACTCATTTTAAACCGTAAAACCAGAAACAAAACACCCCCACAATGATAGCCTACAGGCCATATTATTACATTAGCTTCTGTAAAGAACAGCCACATAGGATTTACAGGTTATAATTTTGAACCCACAATGCTCCCTACTTTGACGGACCTTGGTTTAGCCAGAGTTTATAAACACGACACTGCACAGCCTGAAATCTGAGCGAGTCAATCAGCTGACAGCCGCTGATGGTCGTGACGTCACGTGACCAGACAGGTTTTAACAGCTGTGTGTGCACGGACGCAGCTGCTGTGGCTAATTTTACCTTACATACTACTTTACTATCCCTAATTGTTTCTCACAACAATCCCGTGTACACAAGCTAACAATTAACAGTCCATGTCACATCAAAAGATCAACAATAAAACCTACTTCCACTTCTTTTTATCCTCTCAACAAATGTGGGACTTTTTCAAATTCACTCTCTAGTGGTCCAGCACAGAAGCCAACTACAGCCAGGTGCAAGGTGAGTGACGGATGTGCAGAGGTTTGCATGATATTGTTGTGAGTTTGGTCACTACTGTAGGCTAATACACTTAAATGAAAAAAAAAACAGCAATAAACTGTTTGTCAACAACCATGTATCTAGGTATTGAAGCCATTAGCCTTACTCCCGCTTAAGTAAACTAACCAGCACACACTCACAGAATATGCTGAGTTATTTTTGTCTAAGATGTGGAAGTTGTTTCACACAACTGAGCTCAACTGAGCATTTGTTTATCCTGTCGAATTATCTCACGGCCTGTTGCATACTGTAAGTGTGCCACTGCCCCTGACCTACTCACCAGAGCCCAGTTCTTCTTGTGTACACTAGATGGAAGTATTTTCTACCAAAGTGATGTCAACACAGGCTGAAACTGTTTTATGTTTCTGTCAGAGACACTAACAAGGTTTGTGAAAGTTTCCAGCCCAAACCCTCAAATGAATGCCACATTTTAACCTTCTACCTTTAATTTGATCTGACCTTTGTTTTAAGGTCGGTTTTTTTTCCCACATTTTGGGCTATACTATTTTGTAAAGTAAATTGGCTGCAGACATTTTGAGGCACTGAAGGTCAGCTCTTTGTGCATGACTTTGAAGGCTCTGTGTCGAGCAATTAGGCCCCCTGAGGGATGTCTGTGTCTGGCTGAGAGGGTCACTTGAGATGTCTCTCTGAGTGACTGAGTTGACCAACACAATCACATACAGTAACCTATACTTCCAAACATTGACTAACAGGTGTGTCAGTTGAATTACAGTAACAGCTGAATACGTCAGGTGTACATAAGTCATTTTAAGAACATTATTTCATATGTGTTTTCTTAGATGATTGCACTGCCATCTTTGCTCGAAGATGCTAACTCAGGTGTACGTTCTAAAGAATAACTGCATTGTCAAAAGAAACCAGGGGTAACAAATCCTGGAGAAAAAATGACAATGATGCCAAATAGACAAATCGCTTTACTAATAATGTAGACTTGACCATTTTGGGGTAAGCCATCATTGCTAAAAACAAAAAACTGTCATTTTATATGTCACTTAGACATCCTCTTAATTTGTCAATATTATCATGACTCTTTTTGCCAAAATGATGCAGATTATTAGAGACGAGATTTGTTCACTCTTTACCTGCTCACCTCTTTAAGTATGGGCAGCTACACTGGAGGAGAGAAAAGGCCACTTCACAGCTGCCTTTTATTTTCAGCCTGTGCTCATATCTGGCTGTTGCTTGTAATTATTATCATGTTCTACACAGCATTAATGCTCTTGGATGGATACATGTATATTGGTTTTAAGGCTGCCTTTTGATGTATCTATGATGGAGCTGGTCATAATTTCTTTGACATTCAAGAGATGTATCATTGATTTTATTTTAATTATAGTACAGCTCCCTACAGTGGCTCAACACCTGAATAAAAGCTTTTCAATGGCCAAACTGAATACACATTTTCTCATTTGTCTTAAATAAAACATTAGCCATTTCAGTTGTTAACTTTTATCAGTCAGTCATCATCATCAGGGCATATTTAATTACAGTGGTGTGGAAGTACTGTCGGAACACAGACATTAATCAAAGCATATTCATCAAATCAGGTCTGGTGAGGGAAAGAAGCGCACTGGGCTAGTTCCTGCTAATTAGCACGGCAATTATTGTAAGCTGTCACAGTTCTTAAGCAACAGGGTGGAATGTGTGTGCTCCAGAGCGTAATCCCTCACAAATTACAAGATAATGGAGGCAAAGAGAGGCCACTGCTTCAAAAGGAAACCAGGAGATAGAATCCCCAGCAGGGACATTTAAGGGACAGGCAGAGAGAGAGAGAGAGAGAGAAAGAGAGAGAGAGAGAAAGGTAGGGGAGGAAAGGACAGTGTGTATTCCCTTCACACAGAGCAGTCTGAATATGAAGGGCTTCTTTGACTGCTTAGTTAAGTGATTAGACATAAAGGAAACAAGTCGGATGAATTCCACTTCTTTTACCACATTTGACTTTATTATTTCCAGAAATACAGGTATGAGCTCAGTGGATGTTTCAGCAAATAACCACAGATTAAAAGTCCTTCTAAAAGTCTGATTTTTGTACCTGTTACAACCAATTCAAAGGATATTCTAACATTCATCTGTTAAAATGTTTTATTTGAGTTTTGTAGGAAATACTGTAAGTTGAATTGCTGTCAAGAACCAAGAAAGATAATGTCTGTTTAGGCTTTCACCAGAGTCAAGGTCTTCAAGAAAGATAATGGCCAATAAGGCATGAAGTGCCTTGCAGGAAAACACTCAATTGTAGCATCTGGATAGACTGTACATCATTGTGCTGCCATTACACGATACACCCATTATACTGTAGCAAGAAATAATGACCCCGTTTACAGCCTTATATCAGAATGTAATCTGTTTCTCCGTATCCTACCTGGATGAAGAGAAAGACATCTTAAATCAACGTGTAAAGGCCAAGACAAACTTCAATCTTAGCCAGGTGTAAATGTGTCATAAAAACAAAAAGGTTTTTGGGGCAATGGTGGTGGTGCAGTGGTGCAGTGGTTAGTGCGCGCCCCATGCATGGAGGCTTTGCTCTTCAAAGCGGGCAGCCCAGGTTCAAATCCCACCTGTGGCTCCTTTCCCGCATGTCACTCCCTACTCTCTCTCCTGGATTTCTGACTCTATCCACTGTCCTGTCTCTCTGTTAAAGGCACAAAAAGCCCAAAAATAAATCTTTAAAAAGAAAAAAAAGGTTTAAGTAAATATTCCTCAACCAAAAAAAGACTCGTACCAAAGTAACGCCTTTAATCATTACCTATATGACTAACAGGCATGTACGGCAGTATCTTAATCTGCCTTGTGCCTGCACTGTCTTATTTTGCAGAGAGAACAAGGTGGGATGTGAGGTTGTTCTAACCCTGGTTTCCCTTTAAAATGAGACATAAGAAAAATGGCTTTCACTGAAAACCCAATGAGCAGGTTCATTTTTTTTTATCATGCACCCGAGAGTATGCAACAGGTGTTTAAGTAGGTGAGGAGGGGCCGGCCTTGCATGTTGCGTTTATGAACCGCACTAAACAAATCAAATTCATTGTGCCTTTAAGTGTCTATCAGGCCATTTGCTAAAGGAACTTATTATATAATCCAGCTGCCTTAACTTTGAGATGATGAAAATCTCAAAATGTGTCAACAGCAATTAATTTATCTGTCCAAAGCCTTAACATGGTGCATTATGGTTATTCAATATTAAGTGCTTCTTATAAATGCTTGATTTATTAATCCGGTATGCACTTTTAAATATTTGATTATGATTTACTCAGTGAATGGTGGTATGAGGGGTGGGGTACAGCGATGCATGGATTAGGCTGCTTTAAGCGTTTGAAACTGAGATGAAAAATTTAACAAGTGAAAGGAGTGTGATGATGAGGCACACCCACAGCATTTCAATGAGCCTGTGTGGATGTGGAGCAGGAGGGAAATGCCAGCACCCTTCATCTCACAGGCAGCCCTGCCAAACAGACTGAGAGACTGTGAAGCTTCCAAAGATGAGTTCAGCTTTCTTGTTAATGATTAGCTTTTATTGTGTAAACTGTGACAGCTCCCATGTGATGTGGAGACTGACAAATATTACAAGAAATTACGTTCCTGTCAAACAGCCATTTTCCCTTTAGCCTTCATGTTCAACCATTGACCTAGATTTTTCTTTGTGCGTTATCTTATTTATTGCAATTTTTTAATTAATCTGCCAAAGCAACGTTTTGTTCTCCATAACATGATTATTTTTTAATGATTTATGTACGTAAACAACTGCTGCATGTCTCTTTGTGACATTGGAACAAAAGAAAGTTGGCAACTTGTCAACCTTCAACTGCTGCAACAGCCTCCAACAGGAAGCTGCAAAGCAAAGCAACATCTGCTCAATAAGATTAAGCTTCTTCACTAAAACAAATATAAAAAAAATAATGCCTTTGTTAATGCTTTTGTTGGCTGAATGTGAGAATATCAGTTGCCAATTAGGTCAAATGGAAAAATGATCAAAGACAGAAATGTGGAAAACATAAAAATTCAAGACTGTGCCATGTTATTATAGCAACGGTTGCTTACTGTATGTGAGGCTCCTTTGCTGCTCCTGATAGATGTGCAGCATTACATTTAGAGATTTAAGGGTCTTGATTGGCTAAATCTGGACTCCCACATTTTACAGTGACATAGTCAAAGTTTGTGTATAACTCCCTCGTTTGCGATATTTGAATCAGTGTGACCTGCTATTACGTTTATTCATAGCCAACGTAGACTTTGCTTTCCGATTTCATCTTTTTACCCAATTATTGCATCTTGCTTTCACATAAGCCACCTACTAAATATTAAGAATTCAGTTCTGTTTACTTTGGAAACAATTTCACTCCCTTGGAGATTCTAATAACTATGAAGTAGTTGTTAAATATTCACTTTATGCTCTCTGTAACAAGGACCAATATTTTAGAAAAGGCTTTCAGTTTTATTAAGTATTTATTTCTCTCATAGTATTCAGTATGAATGTCAGGACTGGATTGGGTATCTTGTGTTAATGTTAATATCGTTCAGTCAATCTTGTTTTGCTCATCTCTAAACCCCAACTGATAATATGGACAAGCTAACTTCTAGGTATTAAAATGTATATCCAGCCTAAGACGTATTTTACTACTTGGTCTTTTAAACTCGTGTTTGAAGGGAGAAATGGTTCATGCACTGTGCATGTTATTTTAATTTGAGCAGTGATTACTATGGATAGACACGTTGTTACAGTATGATAGCTTCAGCACTCCAGCCCAGCACACAAATACAAACACTTGAGTAGTAGAGTATTGGAGGGCCACAGCAGGGCTCGGTATAATCGGCAACACTAGAGCCTGTATGTACCCTCTGTGGCTCTGCTTTGTTTCTGAGTGCTCTCCATTTCCAGATGACTCGCTGCACTTGCACCTGCCAAATTAATTGCTTCCCTGACACACTTTTCCGTGCATTCTGTTTGATATCTATGCAGCAGTTTAACATATTTTACACATGCATGGCAATAATGATACTTAAATAAATGGAGCAGTGGAGATGCTGCTCCTATTGTTCCACTCTGTGTTGACAAGACCTCTTAAAGTATGACCTTTGAAACCATGATTTAATATTAATGACACCTGCATGATCTTTACATGAAATGTGACACTTGTTCGGTTTTTGGAAAAAGAATAACACCAACCTGATAAGGGCAATTCAAAATCAAGAAAGATTATGATTGGTTGTCCATGATGTTTTGTCTTGAGTATAACAGTAATTCAGCTTAGATGTTAGTTTTTTTTTTTTAACATTATGTTGTTGTTTATTTTTGCCTTTGTTAATTATTTGAATTTTTGAGATTTGTATTAGGTGTATTTCATAACTTCTGTCCATTAGTAGGCAGCTAGAATCTACCGGACTATTGACCTTATGCAATCACCTTTAAGGGACTATTTAATGGATAAGATTTTTTAATAGGATAAAGGATCACTAAAAATTGTCATTTTATTGGTTGTTAATCCTTTTTCTTGTTTCTTGGAGAGCAGTTCATTTGACTGTATTTGATATTCAGTACAGTTAGCCTTATGTAGCAGCATGGTTCCCTGTTATTTTATTTTTTTTCCTCAAGATCACAAGTTAAGTATTTTATAATGAGATTAATAATGTTTTCTGGATACCAAGCTTACTGGTTAAATTGAAATGGATTTCATACTAGAGATCATAAGATAATGGTGAAAAACTGTCTTTTGACCAGTTTTCAACATCTCTATCATGTTGGGGATGATTCATAACTGAATAGTGATTAAAATATAGTCTGATTACTGATCATGACTGAATCAGTTGCTACGGTTATCAGACTATTGCATGCTGGCATGGCAATGATACTCTATATACATTTAAAAATGAATATCCTTTGCTTTCTTTGGTTAACAGGTTGATTTTCTTGTGATTTTGAGAAAAAGCTATAGCTTTCATGAGATTAAAAACCTAATAAATTAGCATGTTGTGATCTCAAGACAACTGCAAAAACAGCCAGGTGTACAGTTTGTTAAATTAAATTGTATTCAATCAGCTATTAACAAGTGTTGATGTAATTACATTTTTTAAAAGCACAAACAACTCATATTTTTTGGTCATTCTAACACCTGCATTTCTCTTTCCCAAAGACTGATGGGTTGGTGATGAAAGGTACAAAATGAGATGACACCAATCTAAGATCGGTTTAAAATCATTTTCCGTGGAGCTGCTTTGGGAAGACATTTCACTTAAATATAACATATTGTAAGCAACACTGGTAAGGGGTCTGAATTAAGCTGCATTTAAACTCCTTCACTTGCTGTGTGTCCGTATTCTGTTTCCTGTGTTGCCACCGTGACGAGACTGATTTATATGCATGATGGTGGTTCCATTTGTAAGAAAATTGTAATAATTCATGCTGGTCGCCTTCAGTCACTTATAGGCTACTGTTCTGGAGTGTTTCTAATTTCTTTCGGACCACAGCTGTGAGACTGACAGGACTGTGAAAGAATGCAAATAAAGGTCTACGGCTTTCTCTGCTTTGTGTCCAGATGGATGGTATACACATAAAAGTGTGCCCTCTGCATTTCTCAAATTTCTCAAATAATATTAGGACTACACCAGACATTTCTTAATAAAAACAAAACAATAAAATAAAAACAAATGAGTCTGCTTCATTTACCCGTATACCACTATAAATGATTACCGTATTTTCCGCACTATAAGGCGCACCGGATTATAAGGCGCACCTTCAATGAATGGCCTATTTTAGAACTGTTTTCATATATAGGGCGCACCGGATTATAAGGCGCATAGAATAGAACGTGTTTACAACTGAACAAGGCTGGGAGATATTGTGAATATATAAATATAAATACGTATAAAACTACGTTTTACATATAAAACTACGTTTTACGTATAAAACTATGTAAAAAGAAACACAGTCTGATACCGCTAATTCAAACGTTAGTGCATAACTCAACATTGTTCAGTTACGTATAACACGTAAAGCTCACTTTTTCAGTTCATTCCCCGTCCACGAATCCCTCGAATTCTTCTTCTTCAGTGTCCGAATTGAACAGTTGAGCGAGTACGGCATCCAACATGCCCGGCTCCCTCTCGTCATTATCCGAGTCAGTGTCGCTGAGCGCCGTGTACAACCAGTATGGATCAACCAATTAACCAATTGATCCATATATAAGGCGCTCCGGATTATAAGGCCCACTGTCGTTTTTTGAGAAAATTAAAGGCTTTTAAGTGCGCCTTATAGTGCGGAAAATACGGTACACAAAAGGCAGCCTACAGTTCACAAAATCTACATGAATGGTAAAATGTTGACCCTGAGCCTCACCACTCACTTGTCAACACGATAAGGGATGCAGCATGTTTTGGGTTTTGTTTGTTTGCGTGTTGAACTTTGACCTCTCATGAGTCAACATTAATATGTGCTATTAAGGCAAAGGTCAACAGTAACTTAATATGTAGACCTAAGGGATATGTTGTCTACATTTGTGTGTCACATGCAGATTCATACCTGTCAAATTGTGTGGTTGCTGAAGGACTGTTTACTGCCTATGAATCACATGAGCTTTCTATGAATGGACATCAACAGGGAGAGATAGACTGAACCGAGGCCTGCTCCACTGATTACAAAATGTAACTGAATCAATGCAAAATAATCGACTCCTGGGTGCAAGACAAGTGATTGGAGTGCGACGATATCAAGATCACTAATAAGTACTAATACCCTGTTGATGATGGGTTGATCAATTAGGTTTTCCCATTGAACAAACTGTTGAACATATTCTTGTTTTGCTGGCTTTCAGAGAGCAGCCTCGATATAGCCGAATAGCTACATGAGCTAGCTCACCTTAATACGCTTTATAGTGAACTTCACTATAACTTCACTAAGTGCAGAAAGCCTAATTTTCTGTGGTTTACTTTTTGAATCTTACTGTGTTACCAATCACTCTTTAAGATAAGATAAGATAATCCTTTATTGATCCCTAGTGGGGAAATTCAAGTGTTGCAGCAAAAAAAAAAGGTCAAGAAGAAGAGCATTCATATGAGCACAAATAAAACAAGAATATAATGGTATAAAATAAAGATAAAGGTACAATGTATTTACCTAGCTAGTATAAGTAAATTATACACCAATTAAACTCAAAACTATACAGGCCATTGGCACATATTAAGTGGCAAGTTTAAATTAAAGTGAACAGTTATCAGATAAAGTGACAGAGTTGAACTAAGGTGACAAAAGTAAGCAATAGCCTACATATAACAAATAAGCATCTAGAATGAATATGAAATGAGTGACAGATTAACTTAGTGTAGTGTGTATGAAATGATTCAGGGAATTTAGGCTATCATATCGTTTTTAAAGACTGGTTATCATTTAGATAGTGAATGATCTGAGCCTTGCACAAATTGGAATTACACAAATGACGCTTTGTTGCAGAAATGATCGCAACACATGTAAGGCTTCATGAGGGCTTCACTCTTTAACATGGCTGTTAATGTGCTTCTGATCAGGTGTCCAAGCAGCCTGTTGTGGATGTGATCGTGGGGCGCTCTCTCGTGGATTTTCCGCGACACTGTGCTTTCTGTTATCAGAAAGCGGAGATGTCAGAGAACATATGGGGGGTGTTGGATGCTGTGTGTGCTCGGCTGGCACCTGTTGCTGCTTCATCATTCGCGCTGGTCTTTTTTTGTTTTTGTTTCTTTTAAAGGATTTTAACGACAGAATCGTCCACCTCACATCAGGACCATGTCGAAGGCTGAAAGTGACTCTAACTACAGTCGGTTCTATTTTGATAATCCCAAATCCAGAATCCAGAGCAGCTTCGTGTCTTCTGGACCCATGTTTGTCGTTTTGATGGTGATGATGGTGACTTTGGTTGTTCTGATAGTTTTGGGCAACGCACTGGTCATTTTAGCCTTTAAAGTAGACAAGAGTTTGAGAAAACAGTGCAATTACTACTTCCTCAATTTGGCAATATGCGATTTTCTTGTAGGTAAGTAACCTTCATCTTTGTATAAGGTCCTGTAAAAACAGAATATACAGTCTTGTGCAATCAATCAATGCATTGTTGTAGACAGTTTTTTCCAATGTTATCATACACTCTATGTGCTCATAGGCTCTATAATAATAGTAGAGTTATTATAATATGTATGAACTGAGCCTACAGGATTGGAACAGATGTAGACTCCTAAGCAAGTAGTAGTAGTAGTTCACATGACAGGACCAATATTATTTTTCTTTGCCACTTTTATTATTTTTCTAATCAGTCTTATATTATATTCCTCCCTTATCAAGTATTAAGCTTGACATCTTCATTTTTCAAAGTTAAGAACATTTGACTTATTCTGCATATATAGCTATTGACTGAAAATGTAGGCTCAATCGATTGCTTATAAAGCACTTTAAAATTGTTCCAAGAAATATTAGGGTATTTCAAGTGTTTAGAGTGCTGAATCTTTCATAACCATATTTAACCAAAAACCTCTCCTATAAAAACAGACTTGCAGCTGAGTGTAAAAACAATCTATAAATGCTTGCTTATACCTTCTTACAATTTACAATATGTGTTATGGACAATGCATTGAATGATTAACTGATGATAAGCGCAAAATGGGGCTTTAAAAAGTGACTTTGCATTTAAATGTGCTGTTCCTGGTGTGTGATGCCATTTTCATAACTGTTTGTATAGGGGCCTTCTGCATCCCAGTCTACATCCCATATATCCTTACAGGCAGGTGGACACTGGGTCGAGGATTGTGTAAGCTGTGGCTGGTTATGGACTACCTGCTTTGTTCTGCATCTGTCTTTAACATTGTTCTTATCAGCTATGACCGCTTCCTGTCAGTCACCAGAGCAGTGAGTCCAACTTCCTGTACTTTCCATCTGTGGTGCACGTGAAAGAGTCAATTTAGGATTGTGAACACAGAACAGACATGTCTGATATAGGCTGCAGTATTTGCAAAGAAATCTTGTAGCCTACTTTTTCTCAGAAAAAAAAAAAAAAAAAAACTTTTTTAGAGTTGATTCCAAACTTGTTATTATTTCTCCCCTTTTTCCTCCTCAGACACTTTTTTTCCTACATTTTCATTCATCATTTCTGAACGGCAGTCATATTCCTCTGATGTCGCACTTGAATGCTGTAACTTTATGCAACAGTTAGTTCCAAAACAGTATGCTGATTGGACAAGAGGCGTTCCATGAGTGCTGGTATGGAATAATAAGATAAGATAAAATAGTACTTTATTGATCCCCAGTGGGGAAATTCAAGTGCTGCAGGAGTAAAAGATAACATGAAGAACATGCATATGAGTATTACATTACTGGGACTTTTTACAATGAGTATTACTCCGCCTGAGCCAAGTGCTCTGAATAATGTAAGTTTATTGTACTGCAGACAGAGTTTGTCCTGATTAATCTATTTTAAAGAACTCTAATTGAACTTGCTAGATTTAATCTAATTAGCTGGCCCGCAAAATGTTTGGGTTGCTTGGCAACAGTCTATTTTCAGTTAAGATATGGAAGTGAAGTATTGTTGAATTGGTGGAGGAAACATATAATCTGTTTGTTTACTGCTTTCTTTTATATGCCGGGAGTATAAATGTTGTTATTGCTGTCATTATCCGTTGCACTGGGCCTATGGCCTCATGCCTACAACGACCACTCCTGTGATATTGATTTAATGTTCTTCTGCTATGATACTGGTTGCAATTCATATGAAAGCAGGGAATATGTATACTATATATACAAGTAGCTAGGAATTTAGTCTGACAAGTAGTTAGTATGTAACATCAAGTGCCTTGCTGCTAATGTTAGCTGTAGGATTTTCAATTTCCATTTTCTTTTTATTTGCTGACCAATGTGAAAGAAATTCATTAGTAATGATTTGTCAAAATCATTAATGATACCTTTATCCATTATACGGTTTATAGACCTTTTACTTTGGATAACAGAATTTGCCTTTCCCACCCTGAGTATGACATCAGAGGAAAATGGACGCTATGTGGATAAAGTGAATATAGCATTTAAGTGAAAGCATGATATTAAGAGCTGAAAAGCCATTCCACGAGTAGCCATACTCAAGTCCACTGCTTGTGGTCTGTGGCTAATTTCTGACTGGTGAGCCTCCCTGGTCATTGGTAGGGGCAGTGCCGCCTCTTCCTCCCAAAAGTGCCCATCTGTAGAGGTTAATACTTCCTGACCCATTCAGGCCCTGTGCCACCCCTAATTATAGCCTTTCCCAATGACCGAGACAGAAAAAAAGTCACATTTTTGACTTTGAGATAGACTGAGTATCAGAAAAGACACAGAAATCATCACACAACTGTCAAAACACATGGTACTTACTTTATTCTACATCTAAACGAATGAAAGTATTTTAATTTATCAAATCCCTGTTAAATAAAATATTTTTATACTGCATCAGAGTGCCTCAGATTTTAAGTTTTCACTGCCAAATTTTCACCTTGAATTTGTTTGCAAATATTTGACCTCTTTCCCTTTTCTCTAAACAGCCTCTGATTTCTTCACATGTTTTTTTTTCTAATTTTGCACAGCACGAGCCTGATTTTATTTTTATTTTCTAATTCAATTTAATTTTATGCCACCCGGTTACTCCTCTTTACTTTTCTAAAAAGCATTAGCACAGAAGAAGTAATGGCACGGATATAGCAGTTATAATCTCCAAGCCTTTTCAGTTGTTGGGCCCATTGAACCTTTTGATGGGTATTTTCTGTGTATTAGCCTGCTGACTGTCTCCTACACGCTTGTGTGTCAACTCAAAGGTGGGATGAGGCTTGGCATGGAAGACAAAGAGAGTGTTCTGTTTCCTTTCACAAGCAAGCACTTAACATCAGAGCAAAGAATGCAAATAACACCAGAGAGACCGAGAGCCTCTTCTTTAATTAGCTAGCTTTGATCATTGATCCTCCTCTGTGCCATCGTCCTTCCAACCTGGAGAGATCAATCAGAGCCCAAACAGCCAAAAAGCTTTTTCCTAAAAGCATTTCTCTATTGAAATACAAAGGATTGACAGCAGCAATAGGACAAAGTTAGTCTTTTAAAAGAAAGATGGAGTCACATCAAATGTTTGTATTAAACAGTTCAATGACATGTCAGCACATTAACAAAAATGCTCACTGCATGGCAGAAAAAAGTCTGTTTTATGTGTATTTTCAATTAAAAAAAACTGGGAGCTCTGATGAATCAATCTTTATTAGTATAGTGCCAATTCATAACATTTTTTTTTATCTCAAGACACTTTACAAAAGATCAGGTAAAAGACCTTACTCGTCGTTATTTTACAAAAGAGCAGGTAAAATACCTTTCTCATTGCTATATTGAATTCAGTATGTGAATCTAGGAGGAATCTATCAATTTACAAAAAAAAAACCTAAAGTTCAACCTGATTCTCCCTCTCTGAATGCTGCATCACTACATTGAGCAGGGGGCAAAAAGTACAGAGTAAAATGTTGTCTGATGTCAGGAGCTTGAAAGCAAAACTTCATATGTCCTTCTCAAGCAAAACTGCATTATGTGATAATCTGCCTGTCAAAGACATTTTGTATCTTTTATGGAATAACGAATGTTTGATTACATTGTTTACATTGCGAGGCAGAGCATGACTCATCGAGCACATTTATCAAGAGTGAGCTCCTCAGTGTCCCTGGGTTTGAGGGGTTTCACTGAATGATTTTGTAGATTAGGTGGCTTTAATCTATGTCCTTTAGTTGGAGCCAGCCCTACATCTTTATTGAACCAATGTGCTGTGATCAATGTAAGGACAGCAGAGTTGTTTAAAGCAATAAATGTGCTGAAGTGCTCTAAAGCAGTATCATTCATAAGAACCTGCACTCCTCTACAGTACTACTCTTTACGTTTAATGCAAATTACATTTTTACCTCGCTGAATTTAGTTTATAGCTTAGTTTCTGTACAGATAAACATTTTACATCCAAAGCATGTTACAAGCTCATAAGAGAAAAAAATGTCATTGAAATACTGAATCCACACAATTGTATGATAGATTTTCTTTTAGAAGAAACAAAAACACTGACAGAGATTCTCCCTGCATGATGAAAGCCTTAACCTTTTATTCTATGCATACATTTAGAGGAATAATGTCTCACTCTGTATGTGTGATGTTTGACTCGATTGCAGAAATTCTAAATACTTCCACCATCACTGCGGTTAAATAAACTGCCTGCATTTTTATAGCTTAACACAGTGCACTTAAGAAGAAAAAAATGCCTTTTTTTCCCTCACTAAAGATATTTCTACAATATTGGTCGGATACAGCAATTGCACATAAAATGGCTTGACCCCTCTCTTGTATTATTACTCAAGAGAGGTATATTTCCTGAATTATGCTTGTATTTACTGCAGGTGAGTTACCGTGCGAGGCAGAGCATGACTCATCGAGCCATAATCAAGATGATTGCTGTCTGGCTACTGGCCTTTGTCCTGTACGGCCCAGCGATCATATTCTGGGAGCTGGTGGTGGGCAGGAGCCGCGTGCCAAAGGACGAGTGCTTCGCGGAGTTCTATTACTCTTGGTACTTCCTGCTGAGTGCCTCCATGCTGGAGTTTTTCTCTCCTTTCATCTCTGTGGCATTCTTCTACCTCAGCATTTACCTCAGCATACGCAGGAGGAGGCTCCACAGCAGGGAGGCGCAGCCCCAACTTCAACTGAGCAAACCAGCCTGTGCCCAGGGGGAAGGTGTCCCCCTGTCCCACAACATGGGGTTTGGGATGAAACTGGCTGTGAGAGGCTCCATTCACTCTCAGACCTCCTCTCCTAGTTTGGGTAAACTCGATCCCTCCACCAGCAGGGCAGCCCAGCCCAGCCGTCTGTCCAGGGATAAGAAAATTGCTAAGTCCCTGGCTGTCATAGTGAGTGTGTTTGCCATCTGCTGGGCACCGTACACCCTACTGATGATCATCCGTGCTGCCTGCAGAGGGCGGTGCATCCAGCATCACTGGTACGAGGTCACCTTCTGGCTCCTGTGGCTCAACTCTGCCATTAACCCATTCCTGTACCCACTTTGTCACAGCAGCTTCCGAAGGGCCTTCAGCAAGATCCTGTGCCCGAAGCGACGCACAACTCCTGCATCGTCTGTGTTTCGTGCTGGACGGTGAGGACGGGTTAACACGGATGAATGGTAAATGTTTACAATGTTCCAAACTATGGATTTAAATAATTAAAAATGTAAAGCATAATTCCACAGTTTAAGAGCTCAGATGATTAACTGTGTACAGTATCTTACTATAAAGACCATGTCAAATAGTTTTTAGTTGTACTTTCCAATGTTTGAATGTATATGAAGAAATAATAATCATTAATTGTCGATCAGGTCAACCCTTTACAACTGAAGTATGTATTTAACATACATCATAAGCATAATATGCATAAAGCATAATATTTCCTGTACTGTGCTTTACTAACATAATAATTCTTAAAATGAATATAATGAGGTTTATATAACCTGTCAGGATGAGTTTAGTAGAGCTGTACTGTTTGGTAGGCAGGGAAAAAAAGTGAAACCAATTCTGTCTGTTAGTAGCATGCAGACAAAATAATAAAGAGATGTGCCAGCTATGTACTGTATCTGTATGTAATGTTTAGAAATGAATTGTACTTCCATTGTCCAACAGTGGGTTATCTGGGTTGTGTGATATCTATTCTGCAAAAAATGAAATGTAACTAGAATATTTGTCTGGAACGAGATCCATACAAGAGAGAGGGAAAATCATCAGTTACGCTATCCTGTTTTTTATGTGCTGTGTCTTGTATTTAGATATTTTTGTCCTCTTCTTTTAAAATGTTTTCTACTATAAATGTTCTGAAAGCACAGTGATGAAAACACAAAGTGCCATTACGTATAACTGTAAATAAAATGAAAGGTCAAACGTTTAATTTTATCTATTTTTGGTTTTGGTTAATACAATAGATACCTTTTCCATGTCTCTTCATCCTTAATAGATTAATCTAAGCAGTCAACCACATGTGTTCATGACTATGGCAATTCATTTTTACTTTGACTGTTATAACACTTATGATTGTGACATTTTTACAGCTTGTATTTGGCTTAACGTAAGCTATTTTTACCAAATATTGCCAAAACACTATTTTACTGTGGTCAGTGGGTGTAATTATAACAATTAGCCACTAGATGTCACCATTTACCTTCACAACCTCCTCTGTGTGTGGAGTATTAACTCTGCCTCATCCTAGATTCATTCTCTATGGTTGTTCATGTTTTTACACAGCTTTCGGAGTTTGAATCATTAATTACATTATTTTATAATTAAACTATACTTTTGCACCTGGATCATGACTGTAACAAATCAATGTTACCTTACAATATTTGACGAATATAATTCAATGGAGCTCTTCATACATTTACATCCAGTGAGTCATTTTATCGCCAGGTAGGGTCAATTGTTCTTGCAAAACTTGGAATAGTGAGAGTATTGTATTTCCTATGATTTATCAATGTTTTAAAATGCTGTTAAGCTATCAGTATATTGAGGTAGCTGTTCTTGTTAAATTGACTCATTATCTAAATGTTGTTCTCTAGACCTGGAAGAAAGTTATGATGTGATTTAAGAAACAAACAATACATTATGTGTTTATTTAAAGTAAAGTAAAGTAAATGATTTTTGAAACAATAAACATTTCTGTTACTGACTGAGGATCTTAATTCTCAATAAAAACTATATTGTTCACAGTGTATGCATATTGGTTTGATAGATTAAAGACTTATTTCCAGATGTAGACTTATTAAGCCTGTAATTACAACACCATGTTACATAGAGGGGGTAACATTTGCAGGTGCCTGGGTCTCACGGGGGACCTACATTGCTCAAATTGTTGCTGTTGCCTGTGTGCACATCTGGGCCCCTGGTCAGGTGCTGGAATAAGGGCACAGCTGCAGAGAAACAGGCCTATGCTCCCCCTTCTCACTCCCCTCTCTGCCCATGGTGTGTTGGTAGTGGTGGGGGAGGACAGAAAAACAGTGCAGACCAGAGGGATGCAGACACATTTCCCTTGGGGCGACAGAACTGCATTTATCAGCAGAATGGCAGGCCTGCATTTAGTCTCTGTGTATCTAAATGCGACAGCACGAGTCGTATCACTGTGAAGAGCACTCACACTATGTGCAGTTATATCAGGAGATCTACTGATATTGGTTTTGTTGATAGATTGAAATGTCATGGCATGCTTGCCAAACTGATCGGCTAACAGACTGATCATGCCAGCTCAGATGGATGCAGGAACATCCATCCTTTATGCTATGAAAAATAAAGATGAAATTCAAATTAAACATTCACACCAAAGCCCAAGCAGACAGCATGAATTCATACGTTTTATTCATTCACTGTTCCCAACGAAAAAAGATTAATTTTTAGTTGTTTTTATAAGATCTTGACTTATTTATCTCATTATGTTGAGATAAAAAAAAAAATTCTCGTGATAATGAGTAAATTTCAGTTCTTTTGCTGAGATCTCTACTTATTTTCTCATTATTTCAGTGGATAACAAAGCTGTTTGTTCTCATTATATCAGATTTATTTATTTTCTTTCTTGATATAACAAAGCTTGTTACAGCTCGTGATAATGGATTTTTATTTTGGTAATCTAGAAAACAAAACAAAACAATAGGCTGGTTACTGTGATAGGCCAGACCATGTCATGCCATGGTGCCATTTCCCACACTAATGAATTAAGCCTATTTCTATGTTTGTTTTGTGCTTTTGCCTTTTGGACTATGAGATAAATAAGAGGACATGTAGAGAAAACAACTGCACATTACTCATTATCACTAGGGGAACGGAGTAACTAAAATGTATGGATGCATGCCCACTTAAGGCTTCAGTACATTTATACAAAGATGAATCCTTTAAATCAGTGTGTTAATGGAAAGGTTTAGATATCTGCGACCCCAAGCTCTGTATCTAAAAGCTGTGACCCCAAGTGGACTGCACCTGTGCCCCCAAAGTTTATAGAGCTGCATTAGCAGAGACCCAGTCTGTGATCAGAGCAGGGAAAGAGCCTATAACTCCCCCATGAGAGTCTCTAAATAGTTAAAATGTGAAAGGATCTGCTTTAGCTATTTTTTTTAGGATGACTTAATGCTGAAATCATTTGTTTTCAAACTAAGTTACATCTCTGATCTGCCAGTTGAAAAATAATAGATGAAGGATGTGTAAAGATGCAATTCTAATCAGGGGAAAAAAAACAGAATACATTTTTAACAAGACCATGTAGACCATCACTGCTTGTTTTTTAGAGGTAAGGTAGAATGTAAAAGTGAACTGTCAGACAAGACCAAACCACTTTAGTCTGCACATACAGGCCGAAACTGTGACCTCTTTTGAAGTTGTAGCATCACTTAGTGTACATTTTCTCCTCGTGTAGGCTGTTCACTTTCTCAGCTAACTGCATGTAAACCCCAGTTAATATTTTATGAGGGACAGACTCCAAAAGAAAAAAAAAAAAGAGTATTTTTGCTTGATTTTTTGCCTTTTCCGTTCTTCCGTTTTCCCTCTGCTTTTTTCTCCTGCAGTGTACTTCCTGACTAGAGATTAAATAATTCCATTGGAATCCTCTTAGGATGGGTTCCCAGCACTTGGCAATTAAACAATTACATTTAATCAGCATGGGGCGACGCTTCAAGTCACCCTCATTTCAGACGTTGATTAAAAGCAATTCTGCAGTGGTTATTGCTGTCGACTTTGGAAACTGTGGTTCACTTAGGTTTACTTCGTCTGTGAGGTCAGGTTGGATAGCAATATGGCAGGTTCAGTGGTGGTCGGGAGCCGGATCTGCCTGTGGTGAGTGAAAGAGTAATGACAGAACTCATGGCAGACCTCATATTGTCCCCAAAGTCAGAGCTACTTAGATTACTTGGAGACATTTTGACCCGACATCAAAGAAAATGGAATGAACAATGGAAAGGAGTGGGACATTAAGTTGTGCTTGTGGGAGTCCAGATCCAGTGTATGTGTTAACATTTTCTACATTATTTGACTGTGTCCATATTTAATTGGTAGAAAGGCAAGATGACACAACACGAGGATCTCTTTTGTTCTGATAAACACAAAGTGAAACAGAACCTTTGTGTTGAACTTCCTGCTCCAGGTCTTACAAAAAAACCCATCATGTAGGCTATGTTAGCTTAGTTGGACACTAACATTGATCGCTCTTAGTAACCATTTTTCACAAACCAGATTAATGAAGTCATTGTACAGTTACAACAGACAACATTGGGTTGCAAACATAAACAAACACAGGATTGTCACACCTCTACCGAACAAAGAAAGCAGCCTACATATTCCACCATATTCACAAGGCAGCGATTTATTGACCTCTATTGTTGTACTCAGTGGGAGAGTGGGAAACTCAAAAGCTGTTACAATATTGAACTGCTGTATACCAGGTCTGCTAACCAATATCATAGGGAACCAGACAAAATGTACTGCTTTTTAAACAGTAACAAAAAAAGCTCTCTATATTTATAATTTGAATCATGTTTTTGGAGCAAACAACATATATATAAACAAACAGTATTGTTAGCTAGCACTGTATACAGAAGGCTAGCTAACGATTTTTTCCTAGCTAGGAGTTTCTGTTCTCTTCCGATCTATCATATTATGTTTTCCTATCAAGCAGTATCGTTAGCTTTAATGTGATTGAATGCTATATTCGATGTTGTCTTGCAGTAGATAATGAGTTATCAAATGTTTTAACTTGTAATATGACCTCATCACACGCTATTTTTCCGCTATCCGCTGTCTTTTCAGTTGCAGATAAAACAAGAAACTGTTAGATGATTGAATCGGTCAGATATATGTTCACAAGACTTGCAAAAAATTCAGTATTCAAGATTCCCACCATGAGTGGGCTTGTAGAAGAAAAATTGGAACCATATGATAAGTTTTAAAATTGTCAGAGTCAAAATTAGGTAGGGCTAATAGCAGGTAGATTGTGTGTCGTTTTAATTACAAGATAGTGAGGAAAAAAGTCTACATATACTGTATCATGTTGCATTAAACAAAGATGTTTCCATTTCGTCTACAACTTGTACGTTACAGTGCCTGTGTCTTGAATCAAATGCACCTTGACACACACAGTTTCATCATGCAATGCAGTAACATCTCCCTCTGTGATGGCAAACATGCAGCAAGACGGCACGTGGGAGGAGGGCTTTTGTTTTATTCCACATTACACCTGAATGAAAGAGTGCAACGTGGCACGTTGCTGGAGCGGACTGTATAGTCTTCCCTGTGCAACGCAGATGAGTTGCGATGGATACCCGGCCCCCTCTTGTGAAACCCAGATGCCCCTGTTTCATAAGGCCCCCCACTGGCTCTCCAGCCCTCTTAATTAGTAGCTTCCGTCAGCTGACACCCAGGCCTTTGAGCAACCGTCATTGGCCTCTGCTGCAGAAGAAATTCAAGATCTTTAGCTTTTATAAAAGATTGATACATGGGCATGTTTAGTAAGGGGCATCTGGGTTTTTTTCAACTTTGAATTGGTTTCTAAATTTCAACACGGCAGCAAATAAGAAAAATTATTTTGTCTTTCTTGGTTTTAATAAAGGTGGCCAACTGCAGAGAACAGGCCGTGGTTTTCAGACTCTGCTGCAGACACAGTGAAACAAGACATTGATGATTTTTATATGATGAAGTCAAATATAGATAAAAGATTTCACAAGACCGGGTGTGATGCGCCTTTCCTTGCGCAGTATATCAGCAGCACTGTAACAATAGTCTCTTCTAATGACATTCCCCCAGTAAGTTCTTGCCTCTTGCAGTCTCAGGGGAGAAGCGCTACAAAAAGTGATAATTACATGAAATATACATAGAGAATAAAGGGAGCATGTTTACATAACCAGACCCATAAATATCTGACGGAGAAGACATTGTTCTCCGACTCCTTTTAAGCTGATCTCCCAGGGATGCCATTTTAATGACATGATGGTTTAAAGAGATGCTGCTCCATCTCGTTCCATATTTAATTAACTTTTACTTTTCTGACGCAGAGGAAAAACAGAATAAAGAAGGCGTGATAGAGACAAACACACACGCGATAGATAACTGGGAGACAATAACAAATAGCTGGGAGAACAGAGAGGGAGGCAGGGGGAACATGAGTGGAGACCTTGTCATGCTTTTGTGAGCTGTTTACAATACAAGAAATACAAAAGGGGTGAGGGGTGGGGGTGGGGGGGCGCTTTTAAAATTTTACACAAAGGATAGATAGAATTTAGAAAAGGAAAAAGGGAGAAAGCAAGAAACACAGGGAGAATAAGGGCCTTGTTCTCCCGAGGGGCTCCATTATGGAGCATTTTTTAGTTCATCAATAAAAAGAAAATAAACCTGAAACTGACTAAATGTATTTAACTGACATACCAGATCCCTGGAAATGAATACAGCAAACATAACAAAAATAAAATCAAACAGCCATTTTTCTTTTTGGTTTTTACTTTGGCCTCATTCTCCCCATTTTTTTTTTTGCAACACATCTCAGTGTTTGTCTGCAACATGTTCATTAAATAAACACACGGCAGATGTCAGTGTGCAGAGATTGTTTCACATCCCGGTTACATTTCACATGCAGAGATTTCTGCTCAGTATAAATGGTGGATGAAG